TTCTGCCAACTCCGGTCCTCCTCCGATCAGACTGCTGCAAAGATCTAAATCACTTTCTCTTTGAACTAGGGTTCTTCAATTTTCTTTGATGTACGAATGGACTGCAATTGGGAAGTTGGAGCAAAAAAGAAGCAAATCGGAAAGGCTATAATAAGTGTGCTGCAATAATGCCAGGGAAACCATCAACTTTTTGTTCTACGGAGTAATACTTTTGGAGTAAGTCTGGGAAACATTTGGTTGATGTACTCTTGTTTTATAGTACTTCGTAGTTCGTAGTTCAGATTAATTGATAGAGGGCATTTTTGGGAATTTCTCTAACAACTAACTGTCCAAACAACTAATATTTAACGGGAGGGGAATACTCCAACTACAATTAAAGTTTAGGGGACAAATAATTCGATTCTAAAAATATAAGGTTGATTTAATAATTATGACCAAAACTTCCCTTTTTTTAATAAAAAGGAACTTTAGTAAGATGATATCTTTTTCTTTCTAAGAACAGATGGAGCTATCTAATAACACTTTTCATCTCGGGATCGGAGAGGGTGGACCTATGGGACAAAGGTGGAGACAAAAGAGGAACATGATTCACTTTTGCATCTATTTGTAACACTATCCCAGAAGAAACGCCGGCAATCACAGTATAGCGGCCCATTGACTCTACTTGACTCTATCAAATGATTATAGCCGCGGAAAATTTGATAAAATGGAGTATTACCTCCGTCCCACTCAACTTTGCTAAGTTGATGTTAGGTGGGAAATTAGAATAGTAAAAACTGTGTAGTTGAAATTTGTACAGAGGAAAGAGAAATGAACAGAACCACAAAATCATTGCTTTAAAGGGAAAGTGGCAAAGTTTTTTGGGATAAACAAAAAGGGAAAGTTGGCAAAGTCTAGTGGGACGGAGGGAGTATAACGCTGTTTGAAATTGATTCTATTTTTCCTTTTTATGTTTAAGTAGAATCAGAATCATAATCAGATTTTTCGTTGATTTTCACTAATTTATGAAAAATTGCTTGTAGGTAGGGGTGTGCGCGGTTCGGTCCGGTCCAATATTTGGCCGAACCCGTACCCGTACTGTTACTATTCAAACGGTTCGGTTCGGTCTTAGACCTAAACCCGTTCGGTACGGTTTCATTTTGAAATGGGACGATACCATGCCATACCAATACCAAACAATGCCACTTTTTTCAAGTGCTTAAGAGGAAATTAAAGTTTATTCATCCTCCAAAAATCGACACAAATTATAAATTTGCATACTCATTTTATCACAAATTGACATGCAAAGTCAATACGTAGTAATTTTTTTGTCAACCATGTTAAAGTTAAATTCTCTTTATTGATAATTGATTTAATTTTTAATAATTAAAATAAACATATTCAGAAACTACATTGAAATCTCTTCAAGGTTGCAAGCTCCAAATTAAATATAATTAAAAAGTGACATTCTAGTTAAGTGAATAAAATGAAACTGTTTGACCAAGAAAAGTTAATTTTGCAAATCAATTTGGGATGAATGTAGTATTTTACATAATTAATAAATTTCAGATAAATTATAGTAGTACAAATATAAATAACTAAACCATACATCGGTCCGATTCCAGGCTTCCTATGAATTAGCAAAGACGGTGAAAGTGTGAAGACAGTAGTCAAAGTAAGGGTATAAATGTAAATTTAAATCATTGAATCATACTTCGGTCCGGTTCGGTCCGGTTCCGGTTCTCATTTTATGAGAACCGGTCATGGCATTGTTTAGAATCGGTACGGTTCGGTTCGGGACAAAAAATTGAGATCCGTTTCAAACCTCATTTTTCGGTCCGGTACCATATCGGTTCGGTTCGGTACCATGCCGGTTCGGTATTTTTGCCCGCCCATACTTGTAGGATTAGCTTGGACGTTGAGAGACACTTCTGTATGTTTACTAAAAAACTCTAATTATTTGCTTATACAACATGAACCAGTTTAGGAAACATATCCAAGCATCCTCATATATTGGGTATATATTTCACACTCCATCAAAATTGCTTCAAATCTTGAATTGGCAAAATTGTTTTTCACAAACCTGGTAGATATATTAGGTTTCAATTTCACACTTCATCAAAATATAATTAAACACTTCTGACCTCTCTCTTAACTAAATACATTGCACCTTTTTGAAAGCTCTAGCATAAATAAATGTAGCATTATTTAATGATTATCCAAAATACAATGATACAAATGAACATCTTAAAGCAAAGAGCTCACAACAACATAATAAAAGAGAAGACAAAAAGGTTTGGACACCCTTTAGACAAAAAAGAAACAATCATTAAAAAACACAATCATTGTTCTTAATTGGTATGTAAATAAATTATGTTTATCTTTTATATGAAAGGATATATATTTACAGGTGGGTATTTGAAATTCTTTTAGTTTGTTCTACTTTTAGTTTTTTTGGAAGAAGTTCTACTTTTAGTTAGGTTAAATCCATTTCAATGGTCGATTATCAACGTAAATCAAATTATGTTTGGCTCTGTTTGACCACTTGATGAGTTCAACTTGGATATCTGGTTACCAGTATTATCATTATAGATAGTATTTATTATTATTTATTATTATTCGGTGATTTTATTTCACTTAGCTTAGGGTGCAGTTTGAATTACTACGGCTTTAAAAACCACTATCAAATTATAATTAATCTAATTAAATATGGTCCAATTTTGATTAGACTTGGTTTGATTTAGTTCAATTCCATCAAACGAATGAACTCGTGAAAGAATAACAATAGAGCTAAAGATCGAAAGAATAAATTAAAAAAATATTCTCCGTATTTAGTAAAAAAAAAATATTAAACATATTTTCATTTTGATATTCGTCGAAACTAATTTGCTTTTTTCTTTTTCTTTTGAGAAATGGAGCACTCTTTAATCATTGTTCATCATTCTTAAGTGAACATGTCTAAAGGTGATTCCGATGCAATTACAGCAATAAATCTAGGTGGCAGTCGTGAACATATTCAGCAACTTTATAGGGTTTTTCTTAAATAGGTGAACTGTTGAAGGATAAGCCGAACTAATTAAATATGAAATAGTTAATTAATATGATTCCCTTGTACTTGATTTTTTGATCCATATTCCCTTTTTGGAGATATTTTGCAATTTTTCTCCATCCTTTTTGTTGTGTAGAGGTTTTAAAAAGAGAGGTATTTGTATTATAGCAATATTTGCATAAGTAGGTTCTTTTCCAAAATGAAAGTGAAACAAATATGGGATCTTTATAAAAATAATTCTAAAAAATTTAAAAATAGTTACTACAATATAGCGTCATGGTAATCGAAATTTAAAAATTGAATTAACTTAAATAGTGTTTGAAAAAAAAGTGATTTTGAAAAATAAAAGTTGATAGTGTTTGATAAATAAGTGCTTTCCGTGTAATAGAATAAGTAAAAAACACTTTTCGCATAAAAGCCGATAAATGCGTTTTTAAGCAGAAGTTGTTACTTGCAAGAAGTAATAGGCAAGAGCTTCTCTCTCTAGGCGGCCGTCTCCCCTAGGGTTGAGGTTGTTTTTCTCCGCTTTCGTATTCGACGAAGTGTGGCTTTCTTGTGTGGTTTTCTTCCGCCTTTCGTGAGGCTCTCTTCTTCGGCAGACCGCAATGCCTCTATATGGTTAATTGCCAAAGATTGTGTACCCCTAGCAGCAGGTTGAGAGTTTCAAGGATGCCGTTCAGGGTTGAGATCAGAAGGCCATAGATGAAGCATGGGGCTAGGGGTTGGAACATATTTGGACCGGAGGCAAGGAGCGAAACATGCTAAAGTACTGTTGGACCATCTGTTGGATTTGCTCACGCATGCAATTAATTAATTGACTAACCCATGCAAATAACTAACTTAATTAGACAACCAAGCACTCCAGCCTAGCTGGTTGCGAGGTTACCGTGCCTAGTGGGAGGTCTCGAGTTCGAATCCCGCTAGACACACAAGGGTTTGAAACTCAATGGAGTGAGTTTCAGCCCTGATTACTCCAGGCTCCCCCCAGCCCCCCTCCCACAGACGCCCCCGGAGCAAAAAAAAAAAACAAAAAAAACAAAAAAAAAAACTAACTTAATTATACACTAATAACAAGATTAGTTCCAACATCACCCCCCCCCCCCCTCCTAAACCGCCACCATGGAGTGCAGGAGAGTTTAGGGTTTGAAAGCTGTATTTTAATTTTACTGTTTTCTGGCTCTTTATTTTTCATGATCAGACTGTTTATTTTTCTGTTGGTTTCTTTTATTGTTGTAAGACTCTTGCATTAGGATTGGGTGATGGGAGATCTGCTTTAATCGTCGTTGACTCATTTATGCCCATTATAGGATCAGCGAGTTATATTGCTTTTTTGGAGGTGATAAATTTTAAGTTTGGTTCGAGGGTTGACGATTGTCTGTGATTTGAATTTAAGCTATCTATTTTGACGATAAAAAAATAGAAACGCTTTTTTAAGCAGTTGGAATTTGCAAACACTCCCAATGAAAAATTACACTTTATTGATTTATTTCAGGGAGTCTGATTTTCGTAGGGTCAGTTTGAAAAGGAGGTAAGAGTCAGATTGATATTCGAAGTTGCATAAAAAGTGTCAAATAAGTCCTTACTGTCCGGCCGTCCCCATTTGAGGCGGTTCCCGATGGAATTTTTTGATGAATTTTTTTGAGCATCTTATTCGTTAAGTCTAGTTTACTCATACCAAATTTCAGCTAAAACTTCAAGCGGGAAGGCATTCAAATGAATTCTTGAAGATAATTGCGTTTTTAACTGCGTAGTTATCTTCAATAATTCATTTGAATGTCTTCCCAGTTGAATTCTTAGCTGAAATTTGGTATGAGTAAACTGACTTAATGAATAAGATGCTAAAAAAAATCGTCAAAAATTCGACCGGGAACCGCCGCAAATGACGACGGCCGGACAGAGCCTCCTATATAAGAACTTATTTGACATTTTTTATGCAACTTCCGGTACATACCCTTATCTCGTTTGAAAAGGATTGAAAAGCCAACGCCCAATTTTTATTCTATTTATGAGGCAAGGAGTAATATAATCCAAAGGGAATAGTTTCTTATCTGCCATCTCTCATTTGCTCCACTCCCTGTATCTCTTTCCCTCAGAATTGTTGTTTGCAGTACCATACAGAGATTCGAAGGAGAAGAAGCGTGTATAGCTTGAACTTGGCGAGTCTCGATTTTTGAGGTGTCAATATCAAACTCTTTCACTACTTTATGCTTTTAACTAGCTCTAACTCAACGCTTGGCTTCTCCTTCGATTTTCACATATTTTTTCATATAGTTTTGTTCTGGTTTTGTTTCATGTTTTCCAGTTATTAGTTCTTCTTTTTCTGAATTTCTCTTTGAGCACGGATTGTTCTAAGATCCAGGGCTAGGGAAACCATTGACAATTGGAAGACCCTAGCAAGAAAATAAAAATTTATGGGGTCTGTTATTTCTCTTTTACGTCATTATTATTACTATTATTATTATTATTATTATTATTATTATTATTATTATTATTATTATTATTATTATTATTTATTATCATGTTTGTTTTTACTCAATAGAATTGTCATATATATATACTCAAAACTACATTTTATTTAATAAAAATGTAAACTTTAATTTTGAGCCAATCCACATATTACATAATAAATGGGTTGCAAGAGAATAACTATTCTGCATTGAAGAATAGTCATTTCATTCTCATAATAACTTTTCTTGATAAAGTCTTTATCTTAGCCGTTAAGGCGCTGACATTTGAATCACCTCACGCTGAATTATGTGATAAAGAAAAATATATTGAATTTCAGCCTTTTGAATTCCTTGGGTATTCTCCTTCATCAATTGATCAAACTCTACTAACATTTTAATTACATCCAAATAATACTGTTATTTTCTTCACCAAAGGTTTCTTAGTGTTCTCGTTTAGGATTAGACTTTGGAAAATGTTACTTTTGACTATTTTTCACTAAAGGAAAGAAAACTGAATGCAAAAGCAAAAAATAGAAAAACAACAACAGGATAGCAGTTTCTTTACCCATGTAGTCCTTGTAATGACAATGAAAAACTGTAGTCTAATATTTTTTATAAAACATGAAGGCCAGATGCATTTTATTTTTCTTCATGTGTTCAGGGTCCACTCTGCTTGGTAGGCTACAACTTGGTTTTTTAATCCCTAACAGTGTTTTTTTTGCTTCACGTGCCTGACTAAAAGTGAATGTTTTTCATTGTATTTCTCTACTGCTCGAGCCTTTCGTTGGGTAGGGACTAGGGGTGACGTGAGTTGGTGGAATTAGTGAAATATGTATTTTGGAGGCCTCTGAAGTTGCACATTAGCATTATGGGCTGTTTGGTAAAGATTATTTAACTAAAATGACCAAACCGTACCAATTCTGTTGAGTCTTTAAAAACGTGAGGTAACATCTATTTCAGCTACTAGGAACTCTCTAATTCTTGTTCCAATGCATATAAAAAAGGAACTCTATAATTCATTCCCTACGGATATTGAAGTAGGTGGTGTTTTTGGTATTGAAGTAGGTGGTGTTTTTTTACACACGCATATGCATCAATAGCTTTTTAACATTTTATTTTGTGCGATGGTGCTCTTAGATGAGTTCATTATGAACTTTTGGCTCTAATTTGTGAATTTGTCTTTAGGAGTTATGGTGGAATCCTTCATTATCTTGGTTGAGAAGCCCTGCATTATTCTATTTTAAAATATAAAGGATGAACTTTTGAACCATTGATTTTTTTAGTGGAGACAGAATCTGATGCCACACTATGTGCTGCAATAAGTTTAGAGAATCCTAGCGGGCACCCAAAGGGTCAATAAACTCACAGGAGGCAATCTAGAAAAAGTTTGGTGATCCACCGGAAAGGTGATTTTTTGGGTGATTTTTATAACAGGAGGAATGCAAGAATAAATTGCACCAAGCAATTTGAGAAAGTTATTTTTGTGAATCCGCAATCATCGTCCTATAAATTGAGGTATTTAGGTTGTGTTGTAGTATCATACAAATATTGAGTTATTTAGAGTAGTCATAGGAGAATTTGAGCAAGAACTGTAGTTTCTCCATTTGTACTTCAGTTATGTGGAAAATTTCACTACTAGAAACTTTTTATCTCCTTTAGGTGGGTATTTGTGTTGAGATAACTTCTCCTATATGTGAGTTCAGACCCAAATTGTAATTTTTCATGTGTGGTGGTTAGTAAAGATAGTTGAGAGTGCCCTATGGTAGGTATTATATAGCTTCCCGAACCACGCAAGTTCTAGTGTTCTTACTCTTTTTTGTTTGATTGTATTTGTGGAAACATATTTGCTCGATGATCTATTGTACCTTGAATTATTCTGAAAAATAGCATCACCAAAAGTCCAAAACAATAAGAGTCTAAGGTGGGTGGGTATCAAATAAGAGTATACAAGTGCATGTTACTACTCCAACTATCTTAAAATCTTTCCTTGTTCATATTTTGGCATAGCTATTCACATTACACGGAAACAAACCCTAATTTCCGAACTGTCAATATTATAATGATTGCTTTCACTAAAATTTTGGTCTAAAATTTGCAAAACATAAGGTATGTCCATATTGTCTCTTATGTTCTTCTGTGGCCTTTCCCATAAGAAAGTTAATTAAGTCATTTGTTCTTTTGATAGTAATTTCCTTTCACTGTTACTAAACATTCTTCATTTAAACAACATTCCATTTCTCTGCAGAGATTGCTGTCGGTCTTACTTTCAAGGAGTAAACAAGAGGCGTTCAATTTACAATAGCCGTTTTATGAGTAATCTATCGCTATACCTTAATTATGTTTGGGAATTAAAGGGCCACAGTTTTTTCAATGCATGCATCACGCCTCGGGAGATTCACTGATTTGTGCCCTCAATTCCTTCAAAATGATGACACTTACTCCCTGTCTCACTTTCAAATTATAGCCAACACAAATGGATCTAATGACTCACTTCAAGAGGAAGCTCCTCATAAGCCCTATTGCACTTTGGAATCATCCTCGATGAGTGGGAACGACGCTCTTTCCAACTCACCATCAAATGGAAGCCCCATTACCAAGCCTGACCCACAATTCACACACACCAATTATGGTACTCCTTTTATAGAAACCACAAGGCTCGGGCAAATGATGCCCCATGGGGATTTAAAACAGGTCCTCATTGCCTGTGCAAAGGCAGTGTCGGATAATGATTTGATGACATCACATTGGTTGATGTCCGAACTACGGAAAATGGTTTCCGTTTCAGGTGAACCGATCCAACGGCTTGGGGCATACATGTTGGAAGGTCTCGTTGCCCGGTCATCTTCCTCGGGCAGTTCCTTCTACAAATCCTTGAGATCCAAACACTTGCCGCCAACAACAAGTTCTCATCAGCTCCTCACTTTCATGCATACCCTTTACGAGGTAAGGGTATATCCCAAAAACACACACAAAACAGATCGCGGAGATAATTTATTTGCAGAGGTGGCAATAAAATTTGGAAAACAGGCACAACCGAATACACGCATAAAAGAGAAGTCAGGTGAGTGGTGAAATAATTTTTCAAACGGAGAAAGACCATTTAAATTGGGAGTGGGAAGACGATTAATAATATAGGTAGCGGTAAACACGGCATCAACCCAAAAATTAGCTGGCATTTTTGCCTCAAGTAGCATAGTGCGAGTTAATTCAAGTAAATGTTTATGTTTACGTTCAGCTATACCATTTTGTTCAGGAGTGTCAGGGCAAGATTTCCTAAACAAAATGCCATTACTGAGAAAAATTTCATGCATACCATGATTATCAAACTCACCCCCTCCATCACTTTGAAAAATTTTAATCTTGGAATTAAATAGATTTTCCACCATTAGTTTAAAATTCTTAAAATGACTCACAACTTCACTTTTACGACGCATAGGATAAAGCCATGTAAATCGGGAAAAGTCATCAATAAATAAAACATAGTATTTAAAACCACTTGTAGAAAGAACAGGAGATTGCCAAACATCTGAATGAATCAAATATAAAGGAGAAGTGGATTTATGCCAAACTTCTTGAAAAGGTAATCGTTGTGATTTTCCTAAGCGACAAGAAATACAATCATGAGAAAAGTGCGAATTACTAAGAATATTGCCAGTCTTCCTAAGCCTATCTAAGATACGAGTGCCACAATGCCCCAACCGACGATGCCAGACTGGTCCAGGAGCAACATGTGAGGCGAGAGCAACAGGTGAGTAAGAAGAAAGTGAGATGGGGTCGACACCACCATTACTGGAAGCTCGCAGAAGCACCTTCCCCGAAATTTTGTCCTTAACACAAACAGAGTTTTTATCAAAAATCACAAAACAATTATTATCGGCACATAATTTTTGAATGGACATTAAATTATATTTAAGGTGTGGAACATGATAGACAGATTTTAAATGAAGAGGTCGAGGCGGAGTGGACAGATGCAAGTCACCAATAGTCATAACAGGTAAAGTGGAACCATTTGCAACCGTAATAGAAAGTGGTCCAGTATAACTAGATTTATTGACTAAAATACCTTCATTAGCGGTCATGTGAGCGGAAGCGCCAGAGTCAGGATACCAAACAGCCGGAGTGGATTCTCCAGTAGGAACAGCTAAGGCAGGAGTAGATGGCTGAGAAAAACGAGACGGGCACGAAACAGCGGAATGACCTGGGGAATGACAAATTTGGCAGACAACGGGTGGTGGGACTGAACCAAAATTATTCTCAAAAGACGGGATTCCTGCAGACACATTGTTAGTACAAAGAGTAGATAATGCAGGAGTATAAAACGATGACACAACCGTATTACAAAAGACTGTACCCGGTTGTCCCGAAAATTGAGTGTACTGCTGTCCGCGGCCGAATTGTTGCTGCTGGTGGGAGTGGGGTCGCTGACCGAACTGCTGGTGCTGCGCGAGGGACTGCTGCTGCGGGGGAAGCGGCTGACCAGACGCGGGAAACTGCTGGCGTCCGCGGCCACGTCCACGCCCCCGGCCACGGCGACCTCCTCGGCCGCCCCTATAGGGCTGTTGTTGTCCGGCAGCATGAGCCACATCTTGAGGTCCTCCCGATGATATGTTGGCCGAAAAAGCAGGAGTACCAACTGGTGATTCCAAAGATTGTTGATATTGTAATCGTGCCTCTTGATGTACCAACTTGGTGCATAATTTGTCAAAAGTAAGTCCTTCGGGAAAAAGTGTAAGTGGTCCCACAAGCGATTCATAACCCGATCCCAATCCATAAAGAGTATGTTGTAAAAGATCAGAATCAGAAACCGGGCAATTAATGGAATTCAAATTGTCCGCTATTGTCTGAATTCCACGAACATACTCTTCCATGGATTGATTAGCCTTCTTTCGTGAATGTGTCAACTGATGTTTTAACTCCATGGAACGAGCAAGGCTTGCCGCCATAAACCGGGATTCCAACTTTTCCCAAATTGAAGCGGAATTCTTAAGAGTATGAACCTCCATCAAAACTTCACGAGAGAGAGTAGCAAATAGCCAGGCACGAATAGTTTGATCCAGTTTTAACCCGTGATAATATTCAGGATTCATGGAAGAAACCTGATATAAATCATAGGTATATAACGGTGGAGCAGGGAGCGACCCATCGAGAATGCCGATGACACCATTCGCTACCAAGAACGACTCAAATTGAGTTCGCCAAGGTAAGTAATCTTCTACCTTCAATAATTTGGTGGTAACAATTTGATTGATTGCAGAACCAATAGTCATACCTTGCGCCAACGCAGAAAAGGAAACCGGAATGGAATTATCCAATTGGCGCCGGTGTATAGGCTCGGCCGTGTGAGGCATACGCAGACCAGGAGCTCCGGACAAAGTTGAACCGCCAAATCGAGCTCGGACAGCCGCGGCACTGCTGGATTCGGCGTGGGAGTCGGCATTAAACAGAGGCGGTGGCCGGATTGTAGGTTGTGTTGGTGTCCATGTAAAAATCGGCGGGATCCATGGTGTATCAAGCGGCGAGCCCGAGACATGGGGATGGAGTACCTCGGACTGCAGCGGCGCTGTGAGGGATCCGTCGTGTGAAGCTACGCTCATTACCGGCACGTCATCTGCCGGCGTTGTAGTCGCGGCAGTGGAGCGGGGAGCGGCTTGGGTCTCGGCGGCGGAAGTAGTGACCGAAGACATGAGGAAAAAAAAAATTTAGAAACTTAGGGCTCTTGATACCATGTGAAAATAATGGAAAGGCATATATACCTAATGAGGTAGCCTAGATGTCATATATATAATAGAAGAGTTCTGAGTACATTAGGAAACAAATAAATATGGAAACCTAATTAAAGTATAATTACTCTATTATATACAAATCTATTCTAGGTTTTGAAATACCCCGATTGGGTTATTTTGTTAAAGGGAAAATAATTTTAAATATCCCAAACTCGGAAGGCGTGTGAGATAATTACCCCAAACTTGCAAATTTAATATATATATATATATGTATATGTATATATATATATGTATATGTATATATATGTATATGTATATATATGTATATGTATATATATATATGTGTGTGTATATATATATATATATATATATACATACAAAAAAGATCAGGTCCAGCCCTCCCTAGTCCAGCCGCTGTCCGAACTCCGCCGTTTGGGGCGGTTCCCGGTGGAATTTTTTGATGAATTTTTTTGAGCATGTTCTTCATCAAGTCTAGTTTGTCCACACCAAATTTCAGCTCAAAATTCGACAGGGAAGGCATTCAAATCATTTTTTGAAGTTGACTGCATATTTATATGTATATTTTGGCGCAGTCAACTTCAAAAAATGATTTGAATGTCTTCTCGTTCGAATTTTGAGCTGAAATTTGATATGAACAAACTAGACTTGATAAAGAACATGCTCAATGTAACACCGTCCCCAAATATATTTACTTTTATGTAAATAATGTATCGAACCTTATTAAAGGATTAATGAATTTACGAAGTTGTAAATTTTTATCATTTCTTTCGCGTGAATAGAAAATTGCACGTGGGACCCACACCGGGAGTGGGGGCCGCCCGACATTCCCGAGACTATATATTTTATTCATCTTGGTCTAGATAATAAATATATAGTGGGGGATATTTCATTTGGGCCATGGAAAGGCCCAGAGTTGACCGATTGGTCAAAAGAAGCCCAAATTACCGGTACTGGTAATTTAACGGATAACAGTCCGAAAATGAATTTCGAAGACTTCCAAATTAAAGTTTTGGAATATATATTATTTTAAAGGGGCGTTATGATTGAGAACACATAATATATTTTATTTTTCCCGATAAAATAAAATATGATTAATACAGTCCGAAAAATACAACTTTCGGGACCGATTGTACACACTGGGACACAAAGGGATGACCTCCCACATGAGTGGGGGCCACCCCACGTTTTTATATGCTCAAGTTGACTAGATGAGGGCTGGTAGTACACTTGATGGGAGGGTGAGACAATTGGAGACATCAAAGGGGTCCCTCCCACCCTTATTAGCTCAATGGGACAAAAAGAACCCATCCCCCTCTTCCTTCATGATTGTACTCGACCAAAGCACCAAGGAGAGGCAAGAGAGAGCTCTCAAACCAGCTTCCATTGTTGCAGCACGAGCCCAAGGAAAAAGGGGTCCAAAGGAGAGGATTAAAGAGGGAAAAAGTGGGGAAAAGTGTGAATAATTAAGGTAATGACCTTATTATAACTTCTCCTTTATTTTTCTTCTACCATATGAGATATATATCATGTGAAGAATCCTTGAGAGGGTTCTACATGTTATAAGTATGGATTAATGGGTTGGAAAGTGATTCTATGTCCGAGAACGGACTTAGAAGCCAAAACGACCGGTTCACCGGAAAATAACCGTTTTGAGGTTATTTGTATTAATACGGGTTTTATGATTATAAAACCTTGTTAGGAACTTGTGAAAGGTATTTCAAGTGATTTCACAAAGTTGGAAAAGTCGCCGGAGTTGTCGCCGGAGTTGACCAAAAGTCACCGGAGTTTCACCGGAGTTCAACCAAGAAGGGTAGAACTTCATACGCTAGTTCAAGGTGAGTGGACGGCTTAATATCTTATAACTTTTGGGTTAATTATGAGATTACCTAAATAAATGTTATATGATTTCATAATGATGTTTAAAAGATATTTAAACATGTGATTAGCCAATAGGGTTAAGTTTATATGAAAGAAATTAATTGTTGATGCATGGATTATGATATGAAGAATTATATGAAAATGCATATTTGTTTGAAGTGTATTAGAAGCACAAATGAATATTATTAACTTAATTATATGATGATTAAGTCGATACACACAAGACATGAAATGGCGGTCAACGAAAACGTGGACCGAAGAACAAAGGATTTAATTAATACCGGTTGGTATTAATTAATTATAAATCTATATAAATGCATGGTCTTGCATGGATTGTGATACATAAGATTTATGTATTGGATTAGTTATGAGTAACTAAGGATGATATAGACTCTATCTAGGATGATAGGAGGTTGATCATAGGAAAACTTGGTGGAGGACCCTAGTACTTAAAAAGTACTTAACACTCAAAATTTGGTGGAGGACCCTAGTACTTAAAAAGTACTTAACACTCAAACTTGGTGGAGGACCCTAGGACTTAAAGTCCTTAACACTCAAACTTGGTGGAGGACCCTAGTACTTAAAAGTACTTAACACTCAAACTTGGTGGAGGACCCTAGGACTTAAAAGTCCTTAACACTCAAACTTGGTGGAGGACCCTAGTACTAAAAGTACTTAACACTCAAAACTCGGTGGAGGACCCTAGGACTTATGAGGCCTTAACACTCACAAACCGGTGGAGTATCCGAGGATTTTGATCCTAAAACTCATAAATTATGATATACAAATAGGGACAAGGAGGAGTCCTATACACTCGTAGGTATATGGGTGGGTTGGGGTTTTTAGTCAAGAATATTGACTAATACTATTTTTCCCAAATAAAATGGTGATCTACGGATCGGATATTTTCCAAGTATATATATACTAATAAGTATTTCATAACTTGGGGGAAAGACTATTTATTTAAGTATCACCCTATGTTTGGGTCTTATACTTGAAACGCTAGTTATTCTATATTTAGCCTGCTACTCGCTCGGTACTTGTACTGACCCCTTCGGGGGGCCCCACCATTTTCAGGTTGAAGCTAGGGCTTGCTACTTGCACCTTCTCACGGGTGATATCAAATCAGGAAGACGTGGTTCGTGCTTCCTTATTTTCTTTCAAACTACCGAACACTTGCTCATGGATATTTGTTTTACTATAAACACTTTTTGGGCTTGCATGCCCATGTTGTTGGCCGCTTGTGGCTCATGACTTACCGTTGAATATTTCCGCTATTCATTGGTTTAAATGTGATGTTGTTATGTATGTTTACTACTGAGTATGGATGAATTGTTTTCTCGAACGCCTTGTGTAATTAAGTGGGGTTGACTCGTGGGTGACGTCACTTAGTTATACGGCGGTTGTACACGCGCTTGGATTGCGGTCTGGGGCGTGACAATTAAGTGGTATCAGAGCCATCTCAGTTCTAAACTATATAATCAACCTCTCACAAAAGTTTTTTACAAAAGAGTTTTTACCGAAAACCATGAGCATTGTATTTTGACGTTTATAGGACTATTGGTGCCTAAGTTGCAAGGCCTCTAATTGTTAAGATGGTACCCTTAACAATTGGTATGGTAGTGACTTGGGCCAATACGTGTCTATAACGTTCTTCCGTCAATTGACATTTATAGGAGTCTAATGACTCATCCATATTTCTTTCAGAAATTGAGGGCAGGCGAATGAGGACCAGGAACAATCCGAGGGGGCAGGCGCCGGGAGCATCCCAAAGGGGAAGCCGGGCTGCATCTCGGGGTTCGAGAGGAGGCCGGGGAGGCCGTGGAAGCCGTGGAGGTCATCAAGCTCAAACTGTGAGTGATGGCCATGTGAGCTCGGTGTATGAGACCAACACCGAAGACTACGACTCAACCTACGTGCCAGAGACGGAGCATGAAGAGACCCCGTATGATGGGGGTGACACGTACACCGATGATGATGATGATGAAGAGAGTGATGCCAAGTTCGCCCAAATGGGCGAATTGCTTGAATGGTATCAAAAAGAAAAATTGAGGAGGGACCTTAGGCGCCAAGAGAGGCGTGGCTCTCGCGGTGGTTCGGGTCAAGGAAGCCGGGGAGCTTCCGTGGCCACCCCAGCGGCGTCACAAGGTGGGCGTGAAGGAGGTTTTGTCGTGAGAATCTCCAAGTACCTCAAGGAGGCTAGGGCCTTGGGGTGTAGGTCCTTTGACGGCACCGGTGACATTACCGTTGCCGCCGATTGGATCAAGAAGGTGAAGGATGCATCAAGGGACATGCAAATCACACCGGACGTGAAGTTGACTGTCGCTTCGCGGCTCCTTGAAGGGATAGCTTCTACGTGGTGGGAGAGCGTGGAAGGGAAGTACCATGGGGAAATAACATGGGCAGATTTTGAGCTAGAGTTCTATGCCCAATACTACTCCGAGTACGAGGTGAATGTGAAACGGAGAGAGTACACTAACCTCAAACAGAAAGAGGACGGAACAGTTAAGCAACTGGAACAAGAGTTTAGAACCTTGGCTAGGTTCTTGCCGGAGTACGCGGTTGATGAGAACCGCATGACGGAGCACTTTTGGGATGCCCTACTCTTGGACATCCGTGACCGAGCTACGTACTCGCGCCACATGACCTTCAGCGAGGTGGTGGAGCAGGGCCTTCTCGGGGAGGCCCAATGGAACGAGAGAAAAGAGAGAGACGCCGAGGAGGCGAAAAAGAGGAAATGGCAAAGTTCGGGGCCGCCCGAGCAAGCACGGAAGGATAAGCACGGTGGAGGTGGCGGTTCGTTCAAAACACCGGCACCACCGGCAAAGAAGAACAAGGATGCTCGGTGGCATGCATCCTCCTCCCAAAAGACGGGACCCCCTAGGTGTGCTAATTGTTCGAAAAATCACTTTGGGAAGTGCAATGCACCCCCAAGGTGTTATCAATGCGGGAACACGGGCCACATGAAGGCCAATTGCCCACAATTAGGGGGTGGAGGAGCTTCGGGATCCGGAGGAGGAACCATGACGGGAAGAAACCGTGCGGGACCGTCAAACGGCGGTACGGGAAGAGGCAACGCATCCACAAGTCATGCCGCGTCCGTAAATCAAGGCGGGACCCAAGCACGAGTGTACGCAATGACCGAGGCGGATGCGCGAGCAAACCCGGACTCCGTTGCAGGTAATACTCTTATTTTCCTATATTTCTAGGCTTATTTGGGTCATATGAGTCATTGGGTTTGGGTGCGGGCCACCCCGGGGTCAAACCCCGCGAATTCGGGGCGAAACGGGCTAAAAACAACTACGCGCGATCGCGCGTACCTACAGACGCACGACCGTGCGTGCGAGGCAGTAGCCTCTGGCCGTTTTCCGCGCAGACGCACGCCGTGCGTGCAGGTCAGGCACGCCGTGCCTGGGACGCACGATCGTGCGTGACCAGCTACGCACGATCGTGCGTAGCCGGCAGTGGCGGATCTCTGATTTTCAAGCACGCACGACCGTGCGTGCCACCCAGGCACGCCGTGCGTGGACCCCCCAACACCCGAAACTTGATTTTTTCGCCCCGTTCTTCTACGTTTGGACCCCCGTTTGATTCCAAACATTAGTATGAGCCTAATAACCTCCTAAAAATGTGTAAAAACATTAGAAAATGTATCTTACATGGTGTATAAATGTAGGAACATTAAAGATCAATGGTAGGTGTGCGAGGATCCTCATCGATACCGGGGCACAACGCTCGTTTGTGAGTGAGGCGTTCGCCGAGGGCCTTGACGTGCCATTGACACCTATGACGCAAACATTGCTAGTCTCCACACCGTTAGGAGACGACGTGGAGAGAAATCATTACTATCCGTCGTGCGAGGTAGAAGTGACGGGTCAACCTTTGACTTGTGATTTCGTACCTCTAAGCATGTTGGAGTTCGATGCAATCCTAGGAATGGATTGGCTCGAGAAACACCATGCTCGAGTAGATTGCTACACCAAGGTGTTAGAGCTCGAGGATGATCAAGGAAACACACTATGTTTCGAGGGAGATCGGGGGAAATCTAATGCTTGTATAATATCCGTGATGAGAGCACAGAAGATGATGAGGAAGGGATGCCACGCATACCTTGCCTACGTGGTGGACGATACCAAGAAGGAAGTCGACATCAAGGATGTACGGGTCGTGTGCAAATACCCGGATGTCTTTCCCAAAGACCTACCGGGGCTTCCACCCGATAGAGAGATAGAGTTTGTAATTGAAGTGGAGCCGGGAACCAAACCCATTTCGATTCCTCCTTATCGAATGGCACCGGCCGAACTTCAAGAGTTGAAGGCCCAACTACAAGAGCTATTGGACAACGGGTTCATCAGACCCAGTCATTCACCGTGGGGAGCACCCGTACTATTCGTAAAGAAGAAAGATGGCACACTAAGGATGTGTATCGACTACCGACAGTTGAACAAGGTCACCATCAAGAACAGGTATCCCTTACCGAGGATTGATGACTTGTTCGATCAACTTCGAGGGGCAATAGTGTTCTCGAAGATTGACTTGAGGTCGGGGTATCATCAGTTGAAGATCAAGGAGAGTGACATACCTAAGAGTGCGTTTCGCACTAGATATGGTCATTACGAATTCCTTGTGATGTCGTTTGGTTTAACCAACGCACCGGCGGCATTCATGGACTTGATGAACCGGGTGTTTAGTGAATACTTAGATCAATTTGTGATAGTATTCATTGATGATATCTTAATATACTCCAAGAGTGAGGAGGAGCACGAACATCACTTGAGGCTTATACTTGATCGACTAAGGGAAAAACAACTCTTTGCCAAGTTCTCTAAATGCGAATTTTGGCTCAAGGAGATTGGTTTTCTTGGCCACGTCATATCCGGCTCGGGCATTGCTGTGGATAACACCAAGGTAAAAGCTATCATGGATTGGGAGAGACCCCAGAATGTGAAAGAGATACGTAGTTTCCTTGGCTTAGCGGGATACTATCGTAAGTTTGTCGAAAAATTCTCCGTATTGGCGTCTCCATTAACGAAGCTCACAAAGAAAGGGGCCAAGTTCATATGGGACGACAAGTGTGAGGAGGGGTTCCTTGAATTGAAGAAACGACTTACCGAAGCACCAGTCCTGGCCCTACCCATACAGGGTATAGGGTACGACATTTACAGCGATGCTAGCATCCAAGGGCTTGGATGTGTACTAATGCAAAACGGTAAGGTGATTGCCTACGCTTCTAGGCAATTGAGGAAACACGAGGTGAACTACCCTACTCACGATCTAGAGTTGGGGGCGGTGGTGTTTGCATTGAAGATTTGGAGGCATTATCTCTACGGGGAGACGTGTCGCATTTATACTGATCATAAGAGCTTGAAGTATGTATTCACTCAGAAAGAGTTGAATATGAGGCAGAGGAGATGGATGGAGTTGATCAAGGACTATGACTTGATCATCGACTATCATCCCGGAAAGGCCAATGTAGTGGCCGACGCACTGAGCAGAAAGAGTACGTCGGGGACGCTACTCACATGTCTACGGGCATTGAGGGCACACGTGGAGGTATCCACGAGCGGGGCGCTCATTGCTAGGTTCGAGGTGAGGCCTACATTGCTGGGTGAGATCAGCAGATGTCAGGCCATTGATGAGGGATGTCAGAAGATCCGCGAACGGATCCTTGAGGGGCCCGTCGAGAATTTTCGGGTACGTGATGACGGTCTTTTGTTATTTAAGGACCGTGTGTGCATACCAAAGAATGAGGAGCTCCAGAAGTCTATACTTGAGGAGGCTCATTCTTCAGCATATGCTATGCATCCAGGAGGTACTAAGATGTACCGAGATTTGAAGGAATGTTACTGGTGGTCAGGCATGAAGAGAGACATCGCCGAGTATGTGAGTCGATGCCTTACTTGCCAGCAAGTTAAGGCAGAACATCAGCACCCGGCAGGGCTTTTGCAGCCGCTCACCATCCCAGAGTGGAAGTGGGAACACGTGACCATGGACTTCGTGGTGGGGCTACCACGAACAGTGAACAACTATGATGCAGTTTGGGTAGTGGTTGATAGGCTCACCAAGAGTGCACACTTTTTGCCTATCAACATTACTTATCCTCTTGAAAGATTGGCCAAGCTATACACGGAGGAGATTGTGAGATTACATGGAGTCCCAATATCCATTGTCTCGGATAGGGATCCACGATTCACATCCCGATTTTGGCCAAAGTTTCAAGCATCGTTGGGTACTAAACTGAAGTTTAGCACAGCTTTTCACCCACAGACGGATGGACAGTCCGAACGGGTGATACAGATTTTGGAAGACATGCTTAGGGCATGTGCGCTGGAGTTCCAAGGAAGTTGGGACAAGCATTTGGCCCTAGTGGAGTTTGCTTATAACAACAGTTATCAAGCAAGTATCGGCATGCCCCCATATGAGGCATTGTATGGGAGGAAATGCAGAACACCATTGTGTTGGGACGAGGTTGGCGAGGCCAAACTCGAAGGTATAGAACTGGTTGAAATCACCAAGGCTAAGGTGAGGATCATTCAGGATAGACTGAGGGCTGCTCAGGACCGACAGAAGAGTTATGCTGACAAACGGCGGAGACCGTTGGAGTTCAAGGTCGGTGATGAGGTTTTTCTAAGGATTTCTCCTTGGAAGGGCATCATCCGATTTGTATCGAGGGGGAAGCTTAATCCCCGATACATTGGTCCATTTGAGATCCTCGAAAGGATTGGGGCCGTGGCCTACCGCCTCAAGTTGACGCCTGAACTTGAGAAGATACATGACGTGTTTCATGTGTCAATGCTCAAGAAGTACATACGAGACCCATCTCATATTCTTGAGAAACCACCGGTAGAGATCCGTGAGGACTTGCAATATGCAGTGGAACCAGTGAAGATTGTTGGTCAACAAGTGAAGAAGCTTAGGAATAAGGAGATTCCTATGGTAAAGGTCCTTTGGAGGAGTGATCGAGTCGAAGAAGAAACTTGGGAGACCGAGGTCTCAATGAGGGAGCAATACCCATTTCTTTTCGATTAGATACTTGGATTTCGGGGACGAAATCCCAAATAAGGGGGGGTGAACTTGTAACACCGTCCCCAAATATATTTACTTTTATGTAAATAATGTATCGAACCTTATTAAAGGATTAATGAATTTACGAAGTTGTAAATTTTTATCATTTCTTTCGCGTGAATAGAAAATTGCACGTGGGACCCACACCGGGAGTGGGGGCCGCCCGACATTCCCGAGACTATATATTTTATTCATCTTGGTCTAGATAATAAATATATAGTGGGGGATATTTCATTTGGGCCATGGAAAGGCCCAGAGTTGACCGATTGGTCAAAAGAAGCCCAAATTACCGGTACTGGTAATTTAACGGATAACAGTCCGAAAATGAATTTCGAAGACTTCCAAATTAAAGTTTTGGAATATATATTATTTTAAAGGGGCGTTATGATTGAGAACACATAATATATTTTATTTTTCCCGATAAAATAAAATATGATTAATACAGTCCGAAAAATACAACTTTCGGGACCGATTGTACACACTGGGACACAAAGGGATGACCTCCCACATGAGTGGGGGCCACCCCACGTTTTTATATGCTCAAGTTGACTAGATGAGGGCTGGTAGTACACTTGATGGGAGGGTGAGACAATTGGAGACATCAAAGGGGTCCCTCCCACCCTTATTAGCTCAATGGGACAAAAAGAACCCATCCCCCTCTTCCTTCATGATTGTACTCGACCAAAGCACCAAGGAGAGGCAAGAGAGAGCTCTCAAACCAGCTTCCATTGTTGCAGCACGAGCCCAAGGAAAAAGGGGTCCAAAGGAGAGGATTAAAGAGGGAAAAAGTGGGGAAAAGTGTGAATAATTAAGGTAATGACCTTATTATAACTTCTCCTTTATTTTTCTTCTACCATATGAGATATATATCATGTGAAGAATCCTTGAGAGGGTTCTACATGTTATAAGTATGGATTAATGGGTTGGAAAGTGATTCTATGTCCGAGAACGGACTTAGAAGCCAAAACGACCGGTTCACCGGAAAATAACCGTTTTGAGGTTATTTGTATTAATACGGGTTTTATGATTATAAAACCTTGTTAGGAACTTGTGAAAGGTATTTCAAGTGATTTCACAAAGTTGGAAAAGTCGCCGGAGTTGTCGCCGGAGTTGACCAAAAGTCACCGGAGTTTCACCGGAGTTCAACCAAGAAGGGTAGAACTTCATACGCTAGTTCAAGGTGAGTGGACGGCTTAATATCTTATAACTTTTGGGTTAATTATGAGATTACCTAAATAAATGTTATATGATTTCATAATGATGTTTAAAAGATATTTAAACATGTGATTAGCCAATAGGGTTAAGTTTATATGAAAGAAATTAATTGTTGATGCATGGATTATGATATGAAGAATTATATGAAAATGCATATTTGTTTGAAGTGTATTAGAAGCACAAATGAATATTATTAACTTAATTATATGATGATTAAGTCGATACACACAAGACATGAAATGGCGGTCAACGAAAACGTGGACCGAAGAACAAAGGATTTAATTAATACCGGTTGGTATTAATTAATTATAAATCTATATAAATGCATGGTCTTGCATGGATTGTGATACATAAGATTTATGTATTGGATTAGTTATGAGTAACTAAGGATGATATAGACTCTATCTAGGATGATAGGAGGTTGATCATAGGAAAACTTGGTGGAGGACCCTAGTACTTAAAAAGTACTTAACACTCAAAATTTGGTGGAGGACCCTAGTACTTAAAAAGTACTTAACACTCAAACTTGGTGGAGGACCCTAGGACTTAAAGTCCTTAACACTCAAACTTGGTGGAGGACCCTAGTACTTAAAAGTACTTAACACTCAAACTTGGTGGAGGACCCTAGGACTTAAAAGTCCTTAACACTCAAACTTGGTGGAGGACCCTAGTACTAAAAGTACTTAACACTCAAAACTCGGTGGAGGACCCTAGGACTTATGAGGCCTTAACACTCACAAACCGGTGGAGTATCCGAGGATTTTGATCCTAAAACTCATAAATTATGATATACAAATAGGGACAAGGAGGAGTCCTATACACTCGTAGGTATATGGGTGGGTTGGGGTTTTTAGTCAAGAATATTGACTAATACTATTTTTCCCAAATAAAATGGTGATCTACGGATCGGATATTTTCCAAGTATATATATACTAATAAGTATTTCATAACTTGGGGGAAAGACTATTTATTTAAGTATCACCCTATGTTTGGGTCTTATACTTGAAACGCTAGTTATTCTATATTTAGCCTGCTACTCGCTCGGTACTTGTACTGACCCCTTCGGGGGGGCCCCACCATTTTCAGGTTGAAGCTAGGGCTTGCTACTTGCACCTTCTCACGGGTGATATCAAATCAGGAAGACGTGGTTCGTGCTTCCTTATTTTCTTTCAAACTACCGAACACTTGCTCATGGATATTTGTTTTACTATAAACACTTTTTGGGCTTGCATGCCCATGTTGTTGGCCGCTTGTGGCTCATGACTTACCGTTGAATATTTCCGCTATTCATTGGTTTAAATGTGATGTTGTTATGTATGTTTACTACTGAGTATGGATGAATTGTTTTCTCGAACGCCTTGTGTAATTAAGTGGGGTTGACTCGTGGGTGACGTCACTTAGTTATACGGCGGTTGTACACGCGCTTGGATTGCGGTCTGGGGCGTGACACTCAAAAATTTCATCAAAAAATTCCACCGGAAACTGCCCCAATCCGATCCCTCCGGTTGGACCTGATCACTTCTATATATATATATATATATATAGGAAACTCTTCTCATGAGGTATACCTTAAAAAAAGTTAGGCCTCATTCAATTAAAACCATAGGATCACTTAAAATTGTATGGCCAGGATTTTTCCCAAAACCCACTTTCCTCTCTCATCTTTAATCTGTACGAGCTCCTCCATATCCCCAACACCCCAACCTCCATAAACCCACTTCCCCTCTCTCCTGTATTAATCATACGCCATGTTCAAAGCAAAGCCTCTTCCTCCCAAGCTTATCCGCCGAATTGAAGCCACCGCCTAGGGTCGACACAGGTATGATTGAACATTTTAGGAGAATCTGGGCTTACTATTCGGGGAACTGATTGAATGATTGGGTTGGGATAAATGATGTATTTTTTTCTCTAAAATTTGTGATAAATTAATGAAATATAAATAATAATTTTAACAGAAAATTGCAATTAAATTTTTTATCTTGATTTGGGATGGCTTAACATATATTCTGGAACAACATCGTTGTAGAAATATATTGCTTTTTACTGACATCGCTTTTAACTTGGTTTAAGAAAAAATCAGCATCAGCATCCACTTTTACAATCGGTAAAACACCATTTTCCACTATTTTGCTACTCAACATAGTATGGCTAGCATCTCTCCAATTGGATTGTTGGCTGCATCCATGTGTTGCTTGACACACCTTATCATACCAAATGAAAAAATCACAACATCCACACATCAAATACAACCTCCCCTTGTTAGCACCTGATTTGGTCTTCTTCAATTGCAATGGACCACAAGTACCTGGACAACAATGAACATCTTCTACACAACCATTGACATTGCTTGACATAACTACAAAAAAAATAATGGACATCATCAATAAATATTTCACTAAAATAAAGGCAATGCAATCGAACAACTTCACTTTTAACTTGCATTATTTACATCTTCACTAAGTCTAATTAAAATAGTACTTAATATTTTTACACGTTATAATCAACCCATGTAATTAACCCATGTAATTAAAAAAAAATCTGCCATGTACTTCACCCATGTAATTAAAAAAAAAAATTCTGCCATGTAATTAACCCAAGTAATATGAAGTCTATTTACATCTTGACTTCCGTATACACCTAATAAAATTCTTCCTAGGTATAAAATAACAAATTGAAAACCATAAATAAATTATTGTAATTAAAATAACAGTTTACAATCCAAGTTTTTAACAGAAAATTGAAATTCAATTTTTAATTGGGATTGGGATCTGAGTACGAGAAGAAGAAGTGAGAGTCGAGAAATAAAATCACACCTGGGTTTGGGAGGTCGCAGACGAAGAACAAGTCAGTACAACTATAATCGTCAATTGGGTCGGAGATTTTTTTGCCCGATGAAGTATGAGGATGAGAGGGTTTTCGGAGATGGTGTATGATTAAAAGGAGAGAGGAAAGTGGGATGAGGACATGGGGTGGTTGGGTGCTTGGGTAGTACGTACAGGAGATTAAAGATGAGAGAGGAAAGTGGGTTTTGGGAAAAATCCTGGCCATACAATTTTAAGTGATCCTATGGTTTTAATTGAATGAGGCCTAACTTTTTTTAAGGTATACCTCATGAGAAGAGTTTCCATATATATATATATATATATATATATATATATATATATATATATATATGATAGGAAAGATAGAGAAAGAGGAGACCGACGGTTCACATCAGTCCTCAGCATCCAAGATGGCCGCTTCCGCCATAGACGGCATGGCATCGACGGCGCTGCGATAGGTTCTGCAGCGGGTGCAGCTGGCCGCCGAACGCTGCAGCCGTGGATCGGATTCGGATCGTAGCTGTAAGCAAGACGAAACCAGTCTCTCTTATTCGTCAAGTTTACGACATTGGACACCGCTGTTTTGGCGAGAACTATGTCCAAGAGTTCGTAGAGAAAGCTCCCCAGCTTCCGGAGGATATAGAGTGGCATTTCATTGGGAATTTGCAGAGCAATAAAGTTAAGATGCTTCTGACTGGTGTGCCCAATCTCGCAATGGTGGAGACAGTTGATGATGAGAAGATTCCGAATGAGCTTAATCGAGTGGTTGAAAACATTGGAAGGAAACCTTTGATGGTCTTTGTTCAAGTGAATACAAGCGGAGAAGAAAGTAAATATGGCGTTGAACCAGCTAGGTGTGTGAGCCTTGTCCAACACGTTACTTCAAGCTGCCCTTACCTTTGAACTTTCAAAATTTTCTACTAATATTTTTATAAAACTTTCATAATTTAATTAGATTCGCCCCCCTTAACTTTTAATTTTCAAAAGTAATATATAGTGTTACATAATGTAATACTTAATTGAAGATTTAAAAGAAGGAACATCTAAAATAATTGCATAACTTAAACAAATAATCAATAGAATAACTCGTTGTTTAAGATTTAGGATACTTATTACTACCTCCGGTTTTTTTTTAATCTTCACAGTTTGACTTCACACAAAATAAGGAAAGAAATTTGACTTTACTGTAGAGTACACTGTTGAGGCACTGTTTGGCACTGTAGAGACACTGTTTGGCACTGTTGAGACACTGTTTGACACTGTTTTGATGTAGATTTCTTTGCTTAAAAAGGAAATAAGGAAGTGTGAAGTTTATTTTAGACCATCCCAAAAAGGAAAGTGTGAAGTTTATTAAAAACCGGAGGGAGTATATAAGAATTCCTAGTTTTGTAATGTTTAATTATTTTTATTAGATAACAAGTACTTGATTTTGTAAAATATATATCAAACAATATTAAATATCAGACACACTAATTACACAGTTTTTAGATCACGTGAAATGAATCCAAAATATAAATGTTTATTGACATTAAATTACATAATTCATTTACTTCTTGCTTTCTAAAAATAATTTATTGCATAGATAATAAACTTTAAATTATTATAGCATTAATACAAATATTAAAATATAATATGCACAATATATGTGTGTGTGTGTATGTGGTGCATACTATTCTAAAAATAATAATATCATACATACTACTATTGTAATATTAAGAAAACTTCTCATAAGTCATGACTCACGAACACGATCCTTGGTGGCCGGACAAAAATTACTAATCAATAATAACCGATTCATGAGGTTAAACAATGTAGAAGTTATTAAAAATGTATTGGTTGATGTCTTTGCAATCGTCTAATTTAAACTTAGAATGTACAACTTAATAGATTTAAATGTCATTGGGGATGTGTATGTATTAATGTCATTTTTTGAATAAAATTAGCCGCATAGCCCTACAGTAGCGGAAAAAATTCGCCCCGCTACACTAGGGGAAAAAATTTCGCCCCACTACACTAACGAAATTTTTTTCACCCCTACACTACCGAAAAATTTCGCCCCCCTTGAATAGAAATCCTGGATCCGTCCCTGGGCCTGATGACAATTGGAATGCCTGATTATACGTCGACACCAGAGAATTTTAAGACGCTAGCAAATTGTAGAAGTGAGGTATGCAAGACAATTGGAATAGCTGAAGAGCAATGCGAGTTGTCAATGGGCATGTCTGGCGATTTTGAACTTGCAATTGAAATGGGAAGTACAAATGTCAGAATTGGATCAACGATATTTGGAGCAAGGGACTACTCAAAGAAGCAATGAACTCCTAATGTTATTGCCCTTTTGGTAGCCGTGTGCAAGTAGAACTAGTAAATAGCTCATTGACTTATTTGGCTGAGAAGGGTGTTTTCATATGACTTTCCTTTGAAAAGAAATGTTCAACAAGTTCTGGTTCACTTTTGCAGTATATATGTGCACCCACTATATAAATGTTGTATTGCATATTGGGCAAAACACGTTATTAAACTTTGAAGCTTTGCATAAAGTACTTCTGTATGGTTTAATTTCCAATAAAAATACAATAGGATGTTCTCCCTAAATATATATATATATATATACTGGTAACGCGCTTTGCGCGAAATCTGGCCCAACAATGGAAAACAATCAATAAAGTCATGCAAAAACAATATTCATTACTTGTGCACATGGATGGACCCGGGCCGGTTCGGGCCCGGTTCGGGCCTAGGCCCGGCCGGGCCTCGGGTCTGTTTTGTTGGGCCCGAGCCCGAACCGGTGGCCACCGGTTCCGGGTCCGGTTCCGGGCCGGACCGGGCCGGTCGGGCCACCCGGTTTAATTTTTTTTTTTTTCCTTTCTTCCCCCACCCCCCACCCCCCCAAACCCCCCCAAACCGGCCTAAACAGATAGCCCAAGCCCAACAGCCCAAAACAAATGAAAAAAATTAAAAAAAAAAAATAGATTTGGCCCGGACCCGGGCCCGAACCGGCCGGGCCGGGCCGTCAAAACCATGAACCGAGCCCGGAACCGCCCCACCCCCGGGCCTCCGGCCCGAACCGGACCCGGACCCGGATAACCGGGCCGGGCCGGGCCCGCACAGTAGCGGGTCGGGCCGGTCCCGGGCCGGGCGGCCCGAACCGAGGCCATGCCTACTTGTGCAATAGCAAAGCACTATTCCAATGGCTGATATATAATAGAACAGCTCGGTCGTCCTTTAACTTTCCTGAATCAAAGAAAAGTTTAAGTACAAACAAAGCCATGTTCAGTAGAAAATCAAAAGGAAAAAAATTGTCCAAAATGAAAGAATGCCTGGTTTTTGTAGAGTGTTTAAAGATATGGTTCGTAAGCTAAATATGTTTAAATCGTGCCAACCTTAATAGACTGCCCTCAGCCTGGAGCCCGTCTCCGCTTTGAAATATTCATTTTCCTCGCTGATATGAAGTTGAAATCAACCAAAGAGGTTGGTCATATTACAATAGCTAGCTGTGAAATAAAAAGAAGTGTGACTAAAACAAGAGAAGAAATATGGGCAACAAGTATGAGACAGAGGTAGGCAATGATTACCTGATATACTCGCTAATCAGTAGCCCATTTTATCTTCTTAGAAACAATATCATGAAAATATCTTCCAACATATATTCTATATAATGGATACAAGTATATAACAAATTTGATCATCATGTGAAATTAAAAAAGTGAAAATTGTATATTTGAATTATGAAATGGTACGTAGAATATAAAGTGACAATACATAGTAAGAAGTACCACAAATTATTTAGTTAAAAATGTTTGAAAGTTCGTTGAGACAATAAGAAAATGAGGGTTGGATGCAGTAAATGGAAAATACCTTGATTCTTTTGAGAAAATCAGAGCCGGTCATCCCAGGCTAGTCTGTGACGATAAGATTGACGTCCACCTCCTGCAATTCAATTCCCATAAACCATTTTATACATTCTAAGATTCTAAGATATTGAGTACCAACAGCATTGAGTAAAATAAAGTTAAAAAAATACGAACGAATCTGAAATTGGGAAGAAGAATCCATCCCACCACCATGCCATCTTTCGCGGAGATTATAGCAATATATATAATGGTCTGCTCTGTTTGATAAGCGATTCACTTGAATTATTATTGTGTTTTGTCAAGAAAATAGATAAATAGATAAACTTGATGGAGTATAAATAGATCAATAACATTGCATCCTTCTAAGTTGTAGCAAGTAATTGATGTACTCTGGGCAAGTAATTGAGTCTTAGAAATTAGCAGAATCAGATAGGACAGTAGTCTTCATTCTTCAAATACTATAAAGCAAGCACAGTACAGACAAACTATGAATTTATGAGTTCTGATGACTTTAATAAAGACTGCTGAACGGAATTTAAATAAAAGAACTTCACTTCGAATGAATATATAATTCCCATTACTTACAAGAAGGCCTGCATTAATCATGAGAGAGGCATATTCCTCTTTGACTTTGCCTCCCAGTGAGAGAAGAGAGCACTACAAGGAAGCCAACATATCAACATATAGGAGATTTGCAATTTTCATATCAATAACAAAAGATAAGGCATGCATATCAAAAGGAAATTATAACGTATTCAGACATTCTAGAATCCAAGAAATTTATATTTTAAGCCTGATGACCATCCTCTCTTTCGGCTGAATTTTAATTTGAAGAAGAATCAACTGAAGCATTAAGGTAATAAATAAATTAAATGAAAAAATAAAAACCTTGAACAACATGGTTGAACCAGGAAAGGGACATAATTATTGGCAAACTGCATTAACATCAGCCCAAAGAACACAAAATGTTTCTGAGATAATTTATGAATTTATATCAATTAGGAAGGTACCTTATAAAAAGGAACTAATGGAATGTTAGTTGATTGTAATCAAAGTAAATTAGGGATTGACATATATATTTGGATAGGTAACTATAGACTATTCATTAATAAGGAGCACCTTTAAGCCCACACATATAACCATGATATTATATCAATCAACCACATTCAATGGAGCCACATATGATAGTTTGCTATGTTCCCACATATATACATTGGCACTATCCTTAATTAAATTGTCAGCAGCACTATCTAGCTTTGAAGAAATGATTTGTGCTTTGAACCATTCAAAAACAGGAAGTTTTTCTTTCTTCTTTTCTTCCATTATCTTAATGACATGCTCAGTTATCTACAATGAAATAGCAATATTTTTATTTAATATGAAGGTAATAAAGGACAGTGTAACTATTATTCTTTACATGAAAATTGTCTCCATAGAATGCCACAGACAACAATGCTCAAACAAGGTCAACATGCCAAGATGGTTTGTTCATACGCTTTTCAATGAACTTACGATTGGTAAGTTCAAATTTCAAAATAACCAATAACTGAGAAGTAAGAAGTCATCCACTGACCTGACTTAGATATTCCTCTAAGAGCATAATAGCATGATCATCTCGCTCAATATTCAACAAAAAATGATTACCTTTTTCTTCCTCCTCAGAGACTGCTCAAAAAGATAACTAAAAAAAGTCACTCCCGCAGTAAATCAGCTAAACCAAATAGCAGAGAGACACGAAAGGGTTTCAAAGCTAGACTGATCAAATGATTTGAGCTGAGCTCAATAAAATGAGATTTTGCTAACTGACACCATATGAATAATGAGATAAGTGAACTAACGTCAAGCCACTTCCATGAGTCTAGCTCAAGCTTGTTTAAGCTCATCTGATTAACAATCCCATCACAAATCCATAAATTGCATAACTCGAAATAGAGCAATTTAGGCGAAAGTTATGGACTTGTGGTCAACAACTTCTCCACTGCATTTGAAGAGCTAAGTGGTAGTGACTGTACCTCCAATTCCCTATCTACTTGTGGCCGGTCTTTTATACTGCTATACAACTGTGATTGCAATACAAAGGGCCACATAGAACCCTGGAAGGAAAACATCATATTTTAAAGACACAGCCCTCAAATCATCAATCAAAACAAAATTCAAATGTTAAGCTAGTGAGTAAATCCAAATCATCATCTTAGAAAATGAAGATAAAGACGAGAAAAGCATATATATGCAATGCAGCGCTGGTGAGCAGAGAACCATACCTCTAGAAAGGTGTGGGTACTTTGTCTACATCACATTAGAGAATCAGCCCTGGACATCTCTCTCGTTCTTACGCTAGAAACGAAACGAAAATAGAAATAAAAAGAATTAGCTAAATATTGCTGGTTTTTTTTGGAAGATGCATATTAACTTGTGATGCTAGGTAACATGCAAGTTGTCAATTGTGCCATATCTATTACATGGAAAGTTATTCTTTATCCACCTGTAGATTTTCTATTCCAAGGAGAATATCATTTTTAATTAGAAACAAACCATGATAAGGAAGTCAGGCCCTATCACTACAGAGTTAGAATTAGCTAGATATTGTTTTGTGCTTTCTGTTATTCTGAAAACTGAAAATAAGATTGTGAAAAACCAGAAGTTTTTGTTGAAAAAAATGCCCAGCTGAGCAATCCTTCATTTCTTCTGCCAAAAACCCCTAATTAACTGAAGACAAAGAAATCAAAAGCACTAAAACTGTTAGAATCATTCCAAATCGATTAAGGGGTGTGGTGTGAAAAAGTAAAACCTTATTCAAACATAAATGCGAAACAAGAAAAGTGAGTATGAATAAGAAGGATAAATAGTTCTCTGATGTTCTTTACATCAATTGATGATGGGCAGAGAGTCTCAAACACATATAAATGGCTGCCAGGTTAGAAATTAGACTTCAGCATGAATCATTTGAAAAACAAAATATAAAATTACCTAGTGACTTACAATGTTTTGAAAGACCAGTCATCAATGCAATGACAACCTTAAATAAATGGACATAAAATTAGCTTAGGTATTTATGATAAATGTTACTTAGAAAAACAGAAGGTAAATAATCCTGAAGTCCAACCCAAAAGCCTACTAAAACTGAATCCTAAGAGTTTGGTTTAAAGAGCATAAAGTTTGACTTTTTTTAGAATAAGTCATGAATTTGATCTGGTGTTGGAAATGATTTCATTTCAACAAAAAGGAATAAGAGATTTTGTCTTTTATGAAGATTATCATGTGACTTAAGCATGTAGTAATTAATGACTTAAGCTGCCACTTACCAAATGCAATTAAGTAGATATAAAATGGGATACCTATACGAACTCATTAACATAGAGGTTGTGAAAATGGTTGAATGTTAATCAAAAGGAAAAAAATATCTTCATTTTAAAGATGATCATCGTGCGACCTAGACATGCAGTAATTAATTATTCTCATTCCCAGCAGCTGCCACCTTGGAATACAATTTAAAAAAATTAAAATGAGATACCTATATGAACTCATTGATATAGAGTTTCTGTAAAAGTATAGTAATGTTGTTCAGTGGCTAAAAGAGTTCCATTTACGTCCCAAATCTGCAAATAAAGATTTAAGGAGTTCAGAATTACCTTGTGAGGTAGAATGTGAGAAAGTTTAAACACAAATTGGAATAAAATGAGTGCAAATAAAATTGAAACGCTACTGGATAGTTTTTTTTTAAATAATGCACATTTGGAA